ATATATGTCATGTTTCCATGTTATTAATACTGTTTATTATGCCATATTAGATGAATTGTGCTAGATAAATAAGCCATAGAGCTGATAATATTGTCATATTGAAGGACTATCTTGTGTCTCCCAACACAATTCCTAACATATGCCAGAAACAGACCTCTCTGGAAAACTTTCTTAAGCGACAGGGGTCCAGTGAATCTCAAGCTGGTCCTAGTGGAATTAAAAAACAAAGGAGGGAATTAACCCAGGATAAGGACTTGGTACCTGAAGTCTTTATGGAAAGGGATTCCCTTTCCAAACAGTTGTAAGCTCCTCCATCCTCTCCCCTCCTCCCGTCTTCCATACATCACCATGTCTTCAATAAAGGTAAGTGTGATGTTATTATTGTTTTATTCTTCATGTATCATTGCTTTCTATGTAGGGAAATGTATATTTCATGTAAAAAAATTATTCTGTTTAATACTTTTGAATGTCTGAAATGGATTAATTAGATTTCCATTATTTCTTATGGGGAAAATTAATTCGGATAACGATAAAATCAGTTAAGGACAAGCTCTCTGGAACGGATTAATATTGTTAACTGAGGGTCCACTGTATCATTATTATCCTAATATAAACATGTGTTTGTCTACATTCCTCCACGTCTGTCCTCTCTCTCACTTACTCATTCTCTCTCTCGTTTATTTGTTTAATCTCACTTACTCACCTATCACCCTACATAAAGACTAGAAATATTTTAAGGTAAGTAATGAGTTAACTGTACATGCATTTTATTGCTCTGGGACACTTTATATGTTAAGTGGATGGGGTAGGGTGGCCTGGCTGGCTGCCATAACTATGATACCTGATTTCTTACTTTAACCCTTAAACTGTCCAAACGTAGTTCTATGTTCACTTGCGTAGCGCTCTGAATATTTTGGGGAAAAAAAATAATTTTTTTGTTTAAAATGAAGAGCGCATTTTCCCCAGGGTTCCCGAATTTTATAATACTGCGCACACTGAGTGCACAGATCCATACTCTCATGTCTAGGCAACTCAGGCCTATCGTGCCAAGGTTGAAAGCATGTAAAATAAAACATAGATCTACGTTCAGAGCGCTACGCAAATGAAAGTAGATCTATGTTTGGACAGTTTCAGGGTTAAATACTATTCATCTCACCTTACATTAAGACTATAAATATTTTAAGGAAAGTAATGAGTGTACTGTGGGTGCATTTTACTTTTTTTCTTTTTTTGATGCCTAGTTCTATTGCTAACTTAATGTTAGTGTAAACTTGTTATCTAACATTTATATGCATTTATAAGTGGAAAAAAGGGGTGTTTCTCTTTACGGCAATTTCTGCTTTACAACGGTAGCCTGAAACCTAACCTGCCATATAACTGGGGCCTTACTGTACATGTACACGGGAAAATCCCAAGAACAAAGGGTGCCGGAAAATTGGCATTGTACCTGTGTTCAATTTTAGTTTAATATTTAGGCGACTTGAGTCCTGGAAATCGGAAGTACAATGCCTGCATTCTAAAGGAGGGGTTCGGGATATTAGCAGTGTGGAGGGATATGTTTGTGTATCTTTATAGGTATATGCTTCTAAACTGTTGTATTCTGAGCACCTCTGCAAAAACAGTGATTATGTGTGAGTGAGGTGAAAGTGTTGAATGATGATGAAAGTATTTTCTTTTTGGGGATTTTCTTTCTTTTTTGGGGTCACCCTGCCTCGGTGGGAGACGGCCGACTTGTTGAAAAAAAAAAAATTAGGCAAGTGCTTTGCTTGATGCATTTATAATTAAACTTTTTTGCCCAACATTAACCCTTTGACTGTCGCGGCCATATATATACGTCTTACGAGGTACCGTGTTTGACGTATATATACTCATAAATTCTAGCGGCTTCAAATCAAGCAGGAGAAAGCTGGTAGGCCCACATGTGAGAGAATGGGTCTGTGTGGTCAGTGTGCACCATATAAAAAAAATCCTGGAGCACACAGTGCATAATGAGAAAAAAAACTCCAACTGTTTTTTTTAATTAAAATGCCGACTTTATGGTCTATTTTCGTATAGCATTTATGGTTGTATTCTCGTTTTCTTGGTCACATTTGATAGAATGGAAAACATATTATAGAAATAGAGGTGATTTTGATTGATTTTACTATAAAAAGAACCTAGAAATGGAGCTCAAAGTAGGGGAAATGTTTGATTTTTGCCAATGTTCAAAAGTAAACAAATGATGCCATTGTCCAATAAATGTCCAACTAGCCATTCTAATATGCAGTCATGAATGGATTGATGTTATTTATACAATTATTACAGTATTGCAGTAGTCTGCATAATAGTAAGTCTTCTATTTTTTGTTTGTATAAAAAATTCAAAATAGAAAGCAAGAGTAACATCAGAGGGGCCTGGAGACATGACTGATGAGTAAAGAAAATGTTATTTTAGAGCCAGGAATGTCTGCATTGTTCATTCTGGACCTTATTTTGAAATTGTCATATTTTTTAGTTTTCGTGAAATTGGCCAAATTGCAAATTTCTGACCACATTATTAGGTAGTTGAAATAAGTAAATGGGCAGTTTCTTGTACTCAATCGATAGAAAAAAATGGAGTTCTAAAGAAATAGCTATGAGTTTGGATGACTAGAACAATGGAATTAGCCGAAAAGAGGGCTCAAAGTGCGCGAAATCGCCAATTTGTAAACAGCGCCGAGGTCGCTAAATTCGCGAGAGCATAATTCCGTCAGTTTTCCATCAAATTTCGTTTTTTTGGTGTCATTACAATCGGGAAAAGATTCTCTATCATTTCATAAGAAAAAATAATTTTTTTTTTTTTTAAATTTTGCGACACCAGGAGACACCTCAGGATTGAGGGTTGCGACAGTCAAAGGGTTAAAGACTACCTTGGTGAGAAAACAGCTACTGAAGTAGAAGAAAAAACAAAAGGTGTATGTACCACCTCTTCTTTTGTTTATTAACCAACACACTCACTAGTGAAGAACAAAAAGGCACAATACCATGAATAGAATAATGCACAAATAACCTGCATACAGGAGAAAGAAACTTATGATGTTTAGAACCATTAAATAGTCACACACTAATAGCGTATGACTAGTTAACCCTTAAACTGTCCACACGTAGATCTACGTTGACATGCACAATGCTCTGAACGTAGATCAACGTTTTATTTTTCATTCCTTCAAATTTGGCATGATAGGCCTGAGAGAATGGGTCTGCACACTCAGTGTATGCAGTACAAAAAATTTTGGGGACCACTTAATACCTTGTGGGGGCACCAATTCAATTCAGTGCCAGCTAGAGCAAATAGCATGGCAAACACCAGGAATTCACCTAACTAGCTTGTGTTACTAGGTCTGATGCTGTGCTCCTTCCTCCAGTGGATGTGACCTGACTCGGTGGGTCATTGGTCTAAGCCATGGGGTGACATGGACCTGCCTTGCATGGGCCAGTAAGCCTGCTGCAGTGTTCCTTCTTTCTTATGTTTTTATGTATTCAGCAGGCTGGCCGGCTATCTTTGGCTGTCTCTGTCTGTCTATTTCTCTGTCTGTCTATATCTCTATTTCTCACATGAACACATAAGTACAGTCATTATACATAGTGTAAATTACTTAGGATAACCCAAAAATTCCAGGCAAAGTGCTATACAGTGTTTGTAGATATAAAACATTAATAAACATGACACAAGTAATAGCACTGTCACTTGCTCAGTAATCAGGGAGGGCTCATAACCAAAAACCAACAGGTTTACCAGCCTCTCCCTGAGACAGAGACAAACATATAGAAAGACAGACACACACACAGGTAGACAGAAAGACAGATAAGCAGAGCTAGACAGACAGACAAATAGACAGATAGACAGAGGCTGATAGACAGACAGACAGCCATGTTTGTGTGTAAGAGTGACAACAAACAAAGCAGTGCACATTCATCAAATGTCACTGGCTGTCACCAGTTATCTGATACTTGTCCTAACGCCATTCTTCAAGAAGTTTCATATATACTCCAGGCATACACAGGCAGACAGAGAGACAGATAAGCAGAGCAGACAGACAGATAAGCAGAGCTAGACAGACAGAGAAGCAGAATCAGACAGACAGATGGATAGACAGACAGACAGAGACAGATAGACACACAGATAGATAGACAGACATGTTTGCATGCAACAGTGAAAACAAATAAAGGCAGGGTTCTCTGGAGCAATTAGCATTCATCAAATGTCACTGCCTTATCAGGAGTTATCAGACACTTGTCATAACACCATTCTTCAAGGAGTTTTATACTCCAGCATGTCTAAAACATTGCTGGGACCTATAAATACTTTGCATATATTTCTAGACAATAGTAAATGACCAAGGCAGGTGAAAATGTTCACCTGTCAGTGTGATTGTGACTATTTGAGCACTATTTCAGTACTTAACATTAGTGTCAGAACAAAGATTGGCTATGAAATCACAAGAACTATTATAAATTGTAATTATCAGAACATAAAAATTATATAAATTAAAATAAAAATGAGACAAAAAGATATACATATTGGCAATACTTCTGCAAGCCAGCAGGACTCAAGTCAGGTGAGCATCCAGCACCAACTTCCCGGTCTTATATCTCGGTAAGTATTGGTCCTAAAATTTTTTTTTGGTCTTATACTACACAGAAAATTGCCCTCTTTAATTTAAAACAAAAAAATTATTTATTTTATTTTTCAAAATATACTGAGCGCTATGCAGGTGAACGTAGATCTACGTTTGGATAGTTTAAGGGTTAATGGTCCAAGTTGAGCCGAAACACTGTCTTAAATTTGTGTCTCCTATGTGCAGATTATTTGTATAACACTCATTAATTCCTTAATATTATTAACCGACATATTAAGGGATTTATACTATTTTATATTAAATAGTCATTATGGTGGTATTAGAATACTGAATTACTCTATTCACTCATTCCATGCTTAAACATACACTTACATCACTTTATTACAAAGTCACATGCACTTACTTCGGCCTCCAGCATCCAGTTCATGAATACGTGTCTTCATACGATTGTTCTCTTCCTTATATGTCTGTAGCTGCTTCTTCCATTCCTCAACATTTGCTGTGGATTCCTGTAGTGCTGATGTTAATCGTGCATTTGTGGTTTTTAATGAATTTAATTCAATCTCCCACTTTTTAGCATTGGCAGAACTGTGGAAATAGTGAAATTTAAACAAATTATACAGTTCATCAGTATAACAATGCCTAGGCCTATAAACATTTTGGATTACTTCAAAGTTCATGAGCCCCCCCTCCCCCAGGTATAACATTTAACTACATTTATGAAATTTTTTGGTATGTCAACTATGACTGAGCATCAAAGCAAGCCCTGAAACCTAACCTAACCTTGCCAACTTTAATGTAATATAATACACCAAAAATTTACTCATCTAAAAATTTGTAAACCTATATTTTAATAGCTTTTCTTGGAGAAGAACGGGGGCTGACAAATTTTTAAGTGACCCGAACCTTTCATAAAAGGTGGCCAGTAATGTTATATGTAATAACTATTTAGGCCCATAACTTCAATGTTCTGACAAAAATTGTTTGTATGACAAGAGGTCCACAACGTACAAACACTACAATCTGTACACTTCTGCACTTAACAAACATCAGTTATGAACCACCAATTAAGGTTTTATAATCAACGATAAGCAATATGAACATGTGTGAAGCACAATCCTTCTTCACACTATTGTTTTTCTATACAAACTCACTTTTAAGTTGAAAATCAGGAACCCAACATGTTTGTAAGTTGTGGACTTCCTGTACTGAACAAAGGGACAGTGCCAAAGGAAGTCTATAGGGGCTTCAGCCCCCTTATCCTCCAAAATAAAAATAGTAATAATAATAGTGCTGCTTCAAAACAAGTCTCCTAGTCCTCCTTTCCCACCAGACAGAGACCCTAAAGCCCCTAGTATAGAAATTCTGGTGCCGCTTTTGACTGAACATTGTTTGGAGAGGGGTAACTTTGCAATTAAGATCAACTTGAAATGAATCATTTTAAATATGTTTCATATAAGTGATATTTAGGAAATGTAAGTCACATTGTTAAGACTGTAAGAATTTGCAATTTACTCATAAAATGATAATGAAAACTGCACAATGCTTCAGTCTATCCTCAATGATGGTCCAGGACAAACAAAATGTTGTCCAGTTTTTATTTACAAGTTTGGTGTTAACTGTGTTGTGATGTTTATGTAATTAACTGGGGGATCCACTGTAAAGGATCTAAGAAGCATGTATGTACAAAAGAAGCATGCAAAGGCTTCTGTATGCTACACAAGTGTGTTCACAGTATTACAGTAGTGCAGAGGAGAAAAGTAGGGCAGAGACGAGTAGAGCAGAGAAGAAATGTAGGCCAGAGAAGAAAAGTAGGTCAGATTTGAAGAGCAGGCTAGAAGAGAAGAGTATGGTAAATAATGAAGGGAGGTAGAGGTACATACATAAGCTGACAAAGAAATGAGTGAAATTTTCAAGAACACAAATCACAGTTTGGAGCAGTTCAATATACATGAAAGTAGAAGAGCTGGACAGTTTTTCAAACATTCATCTAAGTTCTCAAACTACATAACTAAATCAACAACTTCTACAGATTTTAAAAAAAGAAACCAATAATATGTCTATGCACTTTGCATCTTGGCCCAACTCTTGGAATGCCCTGGTAATAAAAAATAAATGCAAAATACTACTAGTAAGAACACTCAATAGATATAACAAGAAAAGGAAATGAATATTTAAAATACTGACAAACAGCACACAAGGTGTGATAATAAAGAAACCAAAATCCAGTCTTAGCAAAGAAAAAACGTTTAATATCTGAAGGCACAGTCCTGGAGCCTTCACTTTTTCTAATTATTATACTGTAGATAACTATCATATGGCAGATACTGTAGATAGCAACACTTGCCATGGTTTCACACTATCCATTTACAGATGATACAAGATAACCCCAAGAATAATCGTGGTAAAGGACACTGAAACATTACAGACATCAACAAGTTTTGCAGTAGGCAGAGAAAAATAACATGATTTTAAATGGCAACAAATTCCAACAGCTTAGATATGACAAAATCTAAAACGAAGCATAGGACACAAGGCACAGACAGAGCACACTGTAGAACAAAAGACCTAGGAATAATCATGTTGGATGACAGACCAAGGAATAATTGTGTTGAATGAAAGACCTAGAAATAAACATGCTGGATGAAAGACCTAGGAATAATCATATTGGATGATAGACCTAGGAATAATCATGTTGTATGATGGGTTGGAAGTAAATGGCTTGCTGTTATGAATAGTGAAGAAAAGAATACTTCGCAAAACAAGCATTTAATGGGACAGTGTTATGATCTGCTAAGATCTTTATCAAGTCATGCTTTCATGACTTTATAGAGATCTTAACCAATCAAAACTATTACCTATACTGATGGTGTTAACAAGCTTAGTAGCTTCTTCTCTACAATAAAAATTTAACCTGCAAAGAATATTTGAGAGGCTCTTACAAACATCAGTAGCAATCTGACTGACAATTACCCTAACCTCAATGACTCTAATAAAATAATTAATTAACTTAAAAATACAACTAGCAACACAAATGAAATAGTTATAAGTATCCACAAACATGCTGCACATATTTGAGGATATAATGGAGAAAGATAAACACTGATGGATGTCTGGAGGCATATATTATACTGTCTTGAGAGAGGAGCCCAGCCTTTCTGTTCAGTCTTCTATGCCTAGCAGGGCTCCTCTCTCAAGACTATATAATATACACCTCCAGAAATCCATCGGTGTTTATCTCTCTCCATTATATCTTCAACAAACCCCCAAGACAACTTGAAGAGCAAACCTTTCAAGACATCCTCGCAAGAGCCAGAATAAGATCTGTTCACATAGGTGGTGATCCAACTGATGTTAATAGCTACACAACCAATTCAGTATTTAATCTATTACACTATCAAAAATATTTGATAGTAATCCACAAGCAGCTGTACACATACTTAACCAGACACAATATGGTTACTCCGTGTCAATTTGAATTCAGACCTAAAAAATGAGTACAAATGATGCAACAATAAAAATGCTTGACAGTTTATTCAGCACTAAAGAAATAAGTATCCTACTGAATTTTTTACTGAGTTTCAAAAGGCTTTTAATACTGTTGACCACAATATTCTCCTTCTCAAGCTAAATCACTATAGAGTCAGTGGGCACATATACAAGTATTGTCAGTCATACTGTACCTCAGTAACAAGCAAGAGCATGTAGCCACAAATGACAATTCTGAAACTAACCTTAAATTTGGGTGTCCACCAAGATAGCATGTTGGGCCCTTTTCTTTTCCTTATTTATATTGATGATGTACCAAATGCTACCCAATATCTGAAACCTGTACTCTTTGCTGATGATGCTATCATGCTGACAAGTTCACACCCTTTGACATTAAACACTCCAGTCAATAATAAATTAAATAGAGATCTACACCTGGATAATTACCAAAAAACTCACCCTCAATAATGATAAAAAAAAATTCTACATAACTTTTGGGAACAAACTAAGTCCCCCAATTAGCTTTTAGAATTAATGAAAATGAAGTAGGAAGAAAACAGCAAGAAACTTCTAGGTCTAATTATAGACAACAGATTGAAATTTAACACTCAAATCCAACATACAAAAAAAAGTGTCAAAGAATGTAGGGAAGCTCTCAAAAATTCACTATTATGTTCCCCAGTATATGCATTCTGAAGGATGGGTGGGAACTTGTTTCATTGAGTTATTTGAACTGCGAAGTATGTGCACTTATAGCAACACATTTATTGAATTAGTGATAATGAATGCATTTCCTGCTTTGGGTAACCCTAGTCTGGTGAAAAATAGTTCATGTGTGGTAAAAAAAAAAAAAAGTGCACTAAACATTCTAAAATAATATCCCCACCTACTTACAGCAAATTATTATTATTATTTGGACCAGGGGACTTTTATTTATGGATTAATCCACTTTAATTCTGGTGGATATTATTTCCACTAAGTGGTAGATACAGCACCTCAAGATCACAACAGCCAGGAGCTTATACAAACACTTTTAAGAGCAATTAACATTTTGCTTTTCTTAATAAGAAACACTTACTGTATTTTCCGGCATATAAGGTATGCTTTTTTTTTGCAGAAAAAGTCTTGGAAAATCGTCCAGAACCTTATATGCTCAAGGTCAGGGTCAAGCGTAGGCTTTGGGTTATGCTTTAGCAGTTGTTTACTAACGTTACGTTACAACTGGTTGGAAACATCGTCTTACGTCTCATATGATGATCCACCTTATGTGTCGGAAAATATGGTAACCAGGAAACCCTTGATATAATGAGATTTTGAAATAATTGGCAAAATCTACTTTGTATATTGCACTTCTAACTTTTTTAATTTCTATGTTTATTGTAATATAACTATTCAGGTATACAGTAAAGTACCTCAGTGTTTTTCTTTAAGATTATTCTGGCTTAATCGACACTTTGACAATCCTACCTATTAGTCCACTATATGGAGGGTTTACTGTATCCAAATGGTCAGCAAAGATTATTTTCAAAACCTATGATCATTATCATACTTAAAAGCTTTTATTATATGTTCATATAAAAAGAGATAAACTGGATTTCAATATCATGGAGATAATCAACCTCACAATACATAAACTTCTCTACAAATACTGTACAGTACTGTAATGTAATATTTGTATCAATAATTTTTCCCTTGAATGTATAATTTATAATAATTGAGAGTGTGAGAAAATTACGAGTGCAGGCTAAGCAAGAAGCAAGGTGGTTACAGAAAATGTATTTGTAAAGATGCTAGCACAACAATAAACAGCAAAAATACAGTAGTGTGACATTCAAGTGAATCAGAAAGTCTCATAGGAGACTCTTCGGTGCAATAAAATAATTTATAGTGAGAATACTTCAAGCTTATTCATGAACAGGGGACTGCATGAAAGCTGTGAACAATAATAAAATTCTTGAGTAATATTAAAGCCATGAAAACTGTGATATATTATTATTACAGTTATGTGAAGTGCTAAATTCTTGTGGGTCATTCAATGCAAAGTAGTGGAAGTATGATTGATTTGTGATCCTTGTATGATCATGAGTTTCAATATGTAT